CAAAACTGAACCAAGAGGAAATTAATCACCTGAATAGATCTGTAACACAAAATGAAATTGAAGCAGCAATCAAGAGTCTCCCCAAAAAGAAAAGTCCAGGACCTGATGGATTCTCTGCTGAATTCTATCAGACCTTTAAAGAACTGATACCAACCCTCCTTAAACTGTTCCACAAAATAGAAAGGGAAGGAAAACTGCCAAACACATTTTATGAAGCCAGTATTACACTTATCCCAAAACCAGGCAAAGACACCTCCAAAAAGGAGAACTATAGGCCAATCTCCTTAATGAACATTGACACAAAAATCCTCAACAAAATAATGGCAAACCAAATTCAACAACACATCAAAAAGATTATTCACCATGACCAAGTAGGCTTCATCCCAGGAATGCAGGGGTGGTTCAACATATGAAAATCAATAAACGTAATAAACCACATTAACAGAAGCAAAGGCAAAAACCACTTGATCATCTCAATAGATGCAGAAAAAGCCTTTGATAAGATCCAACATCATTTCATGATAAAAGCTCTAAGAAAACTAGGAATAGAAGGAAAGTACCTCAACATTATAAAAGCTACGTATGACAAACCTACAGCCAGCATTATATTTAACTGAGAAAAACTGAAACCATTCCCTCTAAAATCAGGAACCAGACAAGGATGCCCACTATCTCCACTCCTATTCAACATAGTACTGGAATTCCTAGCCAGAGCAATTAGGCAAGAAGAAGGAATAAAAGGAATACAAATAGGTAAAGAAACTGTCAAAATATCCCTATTTGCAGAGACATGATCCTATACCTTAAAGACCCAAAAAACTCTACTCAGAAGCTTCTAGACATCATCAATAGCTATAGCAAGGTAGCAGGATATAAAATCAACATAGAAAAATCATTAGCATTTCTATACACTAACAATGAGCAAACTGAAAAAGAATGTATGAAACAATTCCATTTACAATAGCCTCAAAAAAAATCAAATACCTAGGTGTAAACCTAACAAAAGATGTGAATGACCTCTACAAGGAAAACTATAAACTTCTGAAGAAAGAGATTGAGGAAGACTATAGAAAGTGGAGAGATCTCCCATGCTCATGGATTGGTAGAATCAACATAGTAAAAATGTCGATACTCCCAAAGTAATCTACATGTTTAATGCAATTCCCATCAAAATTCCAATGACATTCATTAAAGAGATTGAAAAATCTACCGTGAAATTTATATGGAAACACAAGAGGCCACGAATAGCCAAGGCAATACTCAGTCAAAAGAACAATGCAGGAGGTATCACAATACCTGACTTCAAACTATATTACAAAGCAATAATGATAAAAACAGCATGGTACTGGCACAAAAACAGACATGAAGACCAGTGGAACAGAATAGAGGATCCAGATATGAAGCCAAACAGCTATAACCAACTTGTCTTTGACAAAGACGCTAAAAATATACGATGGAGAAATAGCAGTCTCTTCAACAAAAACTGCTGGGAAAACTGGTTAGCAGTCTGCAAAAAACTAAAACTAGATCCATGTATATCACCCTATACCAAGATTAACTCAAAATGGATCAAACTCCAAAACTGATACAGGAAAGAGTAAGAAATACTTTGCAGTTAGTAGGTATAGGTAAGAACTTTCTCAATGAAACCCCAGCAGCACAGCAACTAAGAGATAGCATAGATAAATGGGACCTCATAAAACTAAAAAGCTTCTGTTCATCAAAAGAAATGGTCTCTAAACTGAAGAGAACACCCACAGAGTGGGAGAAAATACTTGCCAGCTACACATCAAAGGACTGATAACCAGAATATATAGGGAACTTAAAAAACTAAATTCTCCCAAAACTAATGAACCAATAAAGAAATGGGCAAGTGAACTAAACAGAACTTTCTCAAAAGAAGAAATTCAAATGGCCAAAAAAACACATGAAAAAATGCTCACCATCTCTAGCAATAAAGGAAATGCAAATTAAAACCACACTAAGATTCCACCTCACCCGTTAGAATAGCCATCATTAGCAACACCACCAACAACAGGTGTTGGCGAGGATGCGGGGAAAAAGGAACCCTGTTACACTGTTGGTGGGAATGTAAACTAGTACAACCACTCTGGAAAAAAATTTGGAGGCTACTTAAAAAGCTAAACATTGATCTACCATTTGATCCAGCAATACCACTCTTGGGGATATACCCAAAAGACTGTGACACAGGTTACTCCAGAGGCACCTGCACACCCATGTTTATTGCAGCACTATTCACAATGGCCAAGTTATGGAAACAGCCAAGATGCCCCACCACTGACGAATGGGTTAAGAAAATGTGGTATCTATACTCAATGGAATTTTATGCAGCCATGAAGAAGAATGAAATGTTATCATTCGTTGGTAAATGGATGGAATTGGAGAACATCATTCTGAGTGAGATTAGCCTGGCCCAAAAGACCAAAAATCATATGTTTTCCCTCATATGTGGACATTAGATCAAGGGCAAATACAACAATGTGATTGGACTTTGAGCACATGATAAAAGCGAGAGCACACAAGGGAGGGGTGAGGATAGGTAAGACACCTAAAAAATTAGCTAGCATTTGTTGCCCTCAACGCAGAGAAACTAAAGCAGATACCTTGAACGGAACTGAGGCCAATAGGGAAAGAGGACCAGGAAGTAGAGAAAAGGTTAGATCAAAAACAATTAACCTAGAAGGTAACACACACGCACAGGAAATTAATGTGAGTCAACTCCCTGCGTAGCTATCCTTATCTCAACCAGCGAAAACACTTGTTCCTTCCTATTATTGCTTATACTCTCTCTTCAACAAAATTAGAGATAAGGGCAAAATAGTTTCTGCTGGGTATTGAGGGGGTGGGGGGAAGAGGGAGGGGGCGGAGTGGGTGGTAAGGGAGGGGGTGGGGGCAGGGGGGAGAAATGACCCAAGCCTTGTATGCACATATGAATAATAAAACAATAAAAAAAAAGAAAACTGTTCTTTCAACTCACATTCCCTATTAACTGCTAGTGAGACTAGGCATCTTTATATATTTATTGCCCCGAGATTAGTTTTCATGACTTTCCTGTTTCTTGTAGTTCTTTTTCTTACCGACTTATGTGCTTTTAGCATGTCAGAAACATTAACCCTTCTTTTCAAATTACAGTAATTACTTTGTACAGCCAGAAAAAATAACGTTGCTATATACTTTTTCAAGAAACGTTCTTTCTTCCAGGATGTTCTCCATATGCTTTAAAGACTGTGGAGTAAACTCCTAAAAGGTACGATACCTTGTTCTTTTACCATGGCATTCTATATGCACAGCTGTGTTAAAGCACGAATATTTAAAAGGAAGAGTGTTCCCCTCACTTTGATCTTATTATATCATCAAGGTTATTTTCAGGTAAAAACTTTCCATTAATAGAAGGGTTAGAAAATATATCAATAAATTTAGAAAATAATCAGGCTAAATAACAGTTCATCTAACATGCACTGTGATTCCCAAATATACTAAATCATGCTCTTTCTCTTATAGACATTTTCTCTTGAACCCTGTTTTCTTGTTTCAGTCTGGACTGCTCTGATGCAGGTCTGCTGCAAAGCCACAGGTTTGAGATTCACACCCATCCTGTGACTGATCTCCTCCTCTTCCTCCTGTGCTGTAGCTACTCATGACAAGATCCTGTAGCTCTTCTTTTATAATGGATTTCTTTACCTCAGTGGGGCATGTCTTTCAGGAGCTACAAGGGCAAGAGAAATACATTTTTTGAAAGTTTACATGTAAGAAAACTATTGTGATCTCACACATGACTGAAAAGTGAGCTCATATAGAATTGTGGGTTGAAAATGTTTTCGCAGAATTTGGAAGTCATTTCTCCTTGTTTTTTTGTTTTAAATATTGGTTCCCGATCCAGAGGGACTTTTTTTTTTTTCCTTCTTTCCCCACACATTTTAGACTCTTTTAGAATCATAATAATGTTTTGGTGCTCTGATGTGAATGTGTGACCAACCCCTTCATACCAGGAGGTGAAGTCTTTAAGAGGCATTTCTGGTCATGAGGTGGAGCCTTTGTGAATAAGATTAAATAGGGGACCCAATGGGGCTTGGAGCTTGTTTGCCCTCCCCGCCCATCACGTAAGGACAGAACAAGAGAAGGTGCCTTCTATGAGGGAGGGGGCCTCATAGACACTAAATACACTGGAACTTGGACTTGAACTCAGACTTCCCAGCCTCTGGAACTGTGAAATATACGTACCTTTTGATTGTAACCAACCCTGTCTATAGAATTTTGTCACAGTAGCCCAAAGGGACTAAGACACTTTTCAGAACTCTTATGTTCAAATTCTAATTCCCAATTCAAAAGTATTAAAGAGATGGGGCCTCTAAGGAGTAATAAGGTCATGGAGCACTCATGAATGGGATTAGTGTACTTCTAAGAGGCCCCAGACTGGCTTAGTGGTAGACTGCTTGCCTAGCATTCGTGAGGTCCCTGGGTTCAATCCTCAGCATCAATGTGTATACAGCTGAATGCCTGGGATGTAGCTCAGTGGTAGTAGAGTGCTTCCCTAGCATCACAAGGCCCTGGGTTCGAGCCTCAGCACTGCATTAGAAAAGTACCACACACACACACACACACACACACACAAATAAATAAATAAAAGAAGGAAACCCATTAGTGCAGCTGTCACTCTAGAAGGAACACTCAAGTGGACTTCCTCATGTTTCTGTTTGAAATCAAATAGGTAGTTACTGACATTATTTTTTATCATCTGCATAAGAAAGAGATGAGATGCAAGGCTGTTAAAGCTATTTGTGTAAAAACATTTTACATTTTCCTGATACACATTTCAGAAAAAGACACGTCACCATCCACTGCAGACCTCATCCTACATAATAAACGTGCTAAGAAACACACAACTCCTGATTTCTATGAAATAGCTGAGTTCCAGAATGATTCAAGTTTCTGAATATTAAAAATGTAAGTTAAATAAATCAACACTGACAGCTGCTTAGCAGTGATAAAATATACTTTTATTTACTTTGTTGAGTCAGAGGGTCATAAAAAAAATTATTGCTAAAGTAGGTATCAGGCAAAAAGAAAGGGGTTTTTGAAGTCCAGTTACCTTGGAGTTTATTTAAACTAGGAGGAAAAGTTCATAAGATTTTCATGCAATACATACTTGGTTCTTTAAACAACAGTTGTGACAAACAGCAGAAAGAATTAAAATATGTTGCATTGTGATCTATACAAAACACCAACATCTTGGGTTGTACAAATTAAAGAAATACCTCACTTTTTGAAATACTGTAAGAGCCAATACACAGAGGCATGCCTTAGGTGGGCATAGGAATGCAGTTTAGAAAAGCAGGAAAACAAACCCACACTGGAACTACTTAATTTCTTTAAAATCACTGAGCAAGAAAAGCAACATTGAACTTCCATACTGATTTTACACAACTATACAGTACCTTGACTTAAATCCAAGAGCAAAAGTTAAGACTCTCCTCTATTTTTGGTAAACAAGTGCATGGTAAACTTAGATGACTTTCCCCTGGATTTTACCTGGGAGTGGTCTTTTTAATATTTTATTTAAAAGAGGGCAGGTTTGGCACTTTTATACTGATGTCACCAATGTTAATATTTCTTGGGATCTCAGGAAGATTCATATTCTTTACAGCTGATACAGCACGGGCTGGAGCTCCTGCTAAGCCAGCCTGTATACAGAAGTAAATAAAAGAAAAAGAAAATGTACAACTCAGGTGTAGCTCCTCATACAATGGAAGACAATGGTAAAAGGTTTTCATATAACAATCTTAGAGACCAGATGATAGTTTGAACTGGTATGAGATGGTTACTTTGAAATACTAATCTACAAAGAGAAAATGGTTGACACATTAAAAAAAAAAAGAAAATGCATGCAGTAAAAGCAATGCAGAGTTAGATATAACTTATGTGTACTACCAGATGTCATACAAGACATACTATTCACTAAGAGCTGAATCTTTAACTATATCTTGACTTAACTGACATGATAAAAGCACGAAGCATATTTACATCAGCTCCTTATTAAACATCTCTTGCAACAATCATGACAATCATTTAAAGTAAAATGGCATTTTAAAGTAAATGTGTGCTGAGAATAAAAGTGAAAAGTGATCCTTAGTTTCTTTATTCACGGTGAAACCCTTAAAAAACACAAAATTAGCTTTTAACATTATAGAGGCTCTTCTAAACTTTTCTAAGAACATTTTAAAAAATTATGTGTATTTCAAGTGAGGCCTCAACTAAAAACAGCTCTGCCTTAAGACAAGACTGTAAGATCATCGCAACCTTTTGAAGCTTTAGTAAAAACCTAATGATTACAAGTGCCTTGGCATATAAAGTTGATCAAATAACATACATTCAGTTACAAGATACAAATTCAGAGAAAAAAATAACAAATGTAAGTAAATGTGTTCTAAAATTCTAGCTGGTACCACTAATGCGTAGTATCTGCCTTAGTAAAATTCATGATTTGTGAAGTGATTTTGAAAGAAAATATGCTTAAAAATAAAAAAGCATATGAATCATTTTTCTGAGTTCCATCAATAGCTTTCACAGTTGAGGTTTAAGTTAGGTATCAATAAAATGTCCCTGCTTTTTATTCAGGCTGTGTAATAAAGCAAAGCCAGTTCAGCGGCACCATCTTGTATGAAAGGAGATAATTAAAACCAAATCTTCCTCACTGCTAAATCACATACTTGATAGACAAGACTCATGAAATTAGAAACGAGTGCTCAAAGTCCCTTTTCATCATTTTCATATAATCCTACCTCTTCTGTCAATTAAAATAATAACATAATAAAGTTACCTGAGAAAAATCTTGACTGATAGAAAATAGGCCAGTGTAAACTATTTGCTGAATAAAGGATACAAACATTGTTAAGCAATGAAAAAAAAGTCATGGATTATCAATTCAGAATTGGAAACAGAAAAATCAGTAAAATAGTATTAATAATAGGTGTGGTCCACACAGGCAAGGGCAAGGATGATGATGGGTGAGAAACTCCATACCCAGTTAAAGACCGTAAGGGACTGGAGAAGTACATCTTTACACCTTAACAGAGGTTAACTGCCTTTTGTGTACAACTAAAAATCTGATGATCTCTACACTTATACCTACTGAGCAATGGAGTTCACGTTACACCCCACTTCCTTGCCATTCCCCCAAAAGATGTGAAGGCAGCATGTATCAAATTCAAAAGATCTTTTAATGTGATTTCAAGTTCAAGTTCTAGCTACCAAAATTTAGAATGGCTTAGAATCAAAGAAAAATTGGGGCTTAAAGAGGTTTACCACCTCATAAATTTTTTACTAGGGAGTTGTTGTCTGCCAAGGGACGAAGTTGTTTTATAAAACTGCAGACATCCAGAACTCTACTCATTTTTCCAGGCAGAAGGATTTTTGTAATTTTGCTAATTAAAAAGACTAATCTGCTACTAGTTTCACTCTGTAATTTCTATAAAGGGTACAAACGATAAGAGGACTATAGAAAAGTATTGATAAAATATTTGAATTACAAACATCTTAAAAGTTATGAACTGTTAAAGGATTTTATTGTCAGAAAGAATGTTTTGTCTATATTTTACTGGACTCTGTGGTTTACATTTAAAAATAGTAATCATAAATTTTCAGTATTAAATGTCGTGAAGCCTTATTTTCCATAATACCCTGTACCATGTGCAGCTTAAGCAAGGAAAGTGAGAAAAAATACATCCTGTTAAGCTTCACTAGATTGAGTTGTCTCTTTGTGACTACAGATGGTGCTGACTGTTGACTGCTAATGAAAATACATAAAGTCAACAAAGCAATTGACTTAAATAGCATATATGTGCCCATTCTTCATTAATGTAAAACCAGAAGTTTCTAAGTACAACACTCTACAAATCTTCTAAAGATAAACAGCAAGCCATAGACATGCAGAGGATGGGACTACTTAGAACACGCAGATGAAATTGGAGAATCAAATTATTTCCCAAGCACATCCAAAATTTTTGTATAATATGTGATTAATTGAAGTAGGGAATTTAAAAATTACAATATGAATTTAAGTTTTAACTCAGTGAACATTTTAAGTCAGATTCTACAGAATGTAAAATATGAAGAAAAATGAAGACTTGATCAGTAAGTAGATGCTTATATAAGCTATTGTTTCAATATAAAACTGCAGTTTAACTAAGACTTTATGTTACGCAGGTAGTCAACAGCAGGGCAGTTGTAAAACAAATTTCATTTTCAGACATCTGTAAAGTCAAGTCTGAAACATTTCATTAAAACAGAAAATGTAAAAGAGGTAATTTGCCATTAGGAAATATATTTGCTGACAGACAGGTATAAGTAGTTTTCATCTTAATTAAGAATTTTTTCCAGTAAGATATACTCAAAGTAAAAGGATAACTTTTAGTGACGTTTAACTGTTTCAACACTAAAATTTGCAGCAGTTGAGTTTACCTGACTTGTTAGTAGTATATATAATTTAAAATGAAAAGTAAGATATCCCTGGAAATATAGCATACATCTTAAAGACTTGAGATTACGTGATTGACACAAAGCAAAAACAGCAAGAATGAGATTCTACTGGAGAAATAACTTGTCTCCATCTATGTTCTACGTGGGGCACCACCACGGCAGCTAAGCTGCAGCAAGTCCACTAAAAAAACAAATACATGAATCCAAAGCCGTTCAGAGTATGGGCTGAATGAAGGAATGAGGTACAGCATATAAAAGAATGGTCATGTTCTCTCTCCCATGAGATTAAATAAATTAACAGAATTAAGAGAAAGAAAACAAAATGAAGTCTGCAGGTATACCAAAATGAGGCCAAACAGATAGAAGACTTGTACAGACATACTCTTGGGAATTTCAAGCACTTGAATCACAAAGATAGTAATGGATGAATATGATTTGTTTTTGATTTTTGTTTTTAAATTGCCAGACCCAAAAATAAACAAAATATGTGCAAGCAAAACTGAAAAAGCAGCATTGCTAAAATATTTTTCAAAAATCTGAAAGCTCCTTTTTCCTCATGCACTGAGCATTTCCTCAAGGGGAAATGAAATTAAAAATCTAGCTGTTCATTTCATGTAAGACAAAATACACGTGAAAATGTTTTCTCCAAGCTTGGAATACAGCATAGTAAGATGGTAGCTGGAATAATTTGTACAAACTAAGCCTCTCCTTGCCCTCCCACTGGGAGTTGCGATATGCACATTCATAATTGGACCTAGCAGCAGAGTGAAAGAACACCGACATCAAAAGCACACTGCTAAATGGTTTCAGACTCAAAATCATTAACAAAATAACGGCAGATTCTGATTCATGGTTTTCAGTGAAACAGAAAGGTTCAACATTGTGATTTCTGAATGTGAGGCAGAGTAAGTTTTAAATGGGCTTGTTCTAGCTTGGCGTGGTGATGCACACCTGTCATTCCAGCATTCACGTGGATTGAGTTCAAGCCAACCTGGGCATAGAGAGACCCTGTCTTAAGAAAAAAAAGGCTCGCTCTTTGCTTTAAAAGCAGTGCTTTAATACTTCAATTATAACCACATCAGAAATGCAGATAAAAACCTACTTTGCAAGAACTATAGCATTTTATAACCAATCGTATCAAAATTAGAATTAAAATTTTGATCTAGTCATTTTATATATCATCTTCAATTATAGTTTTAATTTCTAAACAGAATTTGCCTATGTGAAATAAATACAGCAGACAAATGATATTTACAGATTTAATGTAACTAGTTTTGACCATCACAAGTGACCTCAGGGATCCTCATAATAATTTTGTAGACATACAAAATAAATGTGCATGTCAAGGCCGAGGGGCAGAATCAACTCATGAGCTGATCTTCCCATTCCTGAAGCCTGCACTCTCTCTAAACAGATACCTAGTGTTTTTATTTAAAGCCAATTACTATACTAGTGTTAGCAATGGAAGATAAAAGACCCAAGTGATTTTGGTTCTATTGCTAGAAAATAGGAGTTAAATGTAAACTAAATGCTGGAACACACTAACAGGCATCTATCTCATTCAATGGAGTGAATGACATCATATGTACCTTCCATCCTGGGACAAAGTGAGATGCATACGGGACCAAAAGTGGTACCAGGCTTAATGATACTGCCTGTAATCTCAGAGTAAGGCATTTACAGCCACCTGTACATGCCTACTTCTCAAACACATCTAGGGAATAGTCACAACTTCGTAGCTAAAAGCAATTCCAAATTCCCAGTGATATTTTTCTAAATCCATCAAATGGATGATCTACCTTGTTAGGTTCACAGCAGAATACTCAGTAAATTAATTTCATCTGGAAATTTTTACTTCAAGGCTTAGAAACATTTTATATTTATTCCTGAGCTGGCTTTGTACAAAGAAATTGCTCAATTATCATCTACCCAATACTTTTCAAAAAGTCATTCAATCTGTTAATTTACAGTGTGAAAAAAGGTACCAAAAAACCCCCGAAAATGAAGAAATCCAAAGAAGAAAAATTAGTTTTGTAAATGTAGTAGAAGTCTAAGTTACTCCCAGTGCTTGCCAACATGAGTGACAAACTACTCGGGCTTTACAATATTTGACTGTAATTATGACACGCGTGGATGTCAGGTTCGATGTGGCAGAGAGTAACTGTATTTTGATCCACAAATTTAATTCTATCTTTAGAGCAGTAAGTTCACATTTTAGAGGTCTGATCTTACTTTTGGTTGGCCACTGTTAATGTGCATCTGCAGGTCAAAACTATTAAAGCGATTCTGTTAAGACTTTGGAACTGAAAACCATTTGGGGGGGACACTGTTTAACAGTCATTATTCTAAGCCTTCATTGTTTCGCATTTTGTATGAACTCTAAAGGTTCAGCTTTTGATTATTAAATTCATAGCTTCCAAAACTCAGCAAGCAATTTTATGTTAAATCCTAATTTATAGATGGAAAAAAATTTGTGAGTGTTAAACTGAGATTGGTTCTGTGGTATGAAGCTCAAAATAAACTAAGTTTCTATGTACAAAGTAAATTGTCATTTCTACAAATGCAATTTGTCAGTTAAAACAAATGTTTTTAAAAAAAAAAAGAACAAAAAATTTAAACTTTTCTTTTACAATGCAGGCAGACAAAACAGAACAAACATGACATCAATGATACGCTAGCAAAATACACTAAGTCCAATAAAAGATGAAGAAACTACAAGGAAAAACTAGAATGGAAATAGGCTACAGGGACTATATGGGTTCGTTAACACAAATAATTTTTGAGTCTGGCCTAAATAATTAATTGCCTTTGACATCATTTTGCTTTCCCTTTGTAAAGTACATTGTTCTCAAAGTCAGCAATACCTTGTCTACCTGTCCTGTCTGGGAGACTGAAAGATAAAGGTCTGTAAGAGAGAAGAATGGAAAGAGCTAGAAAGATCAGGAGGTTCAGAAAAAAGAGAACTGACTTAAAAAGTAGTGACTAAATGCAGACCCACTGACCCATCTTAAGAATAACAAGAACTACGTAAATCTAACAAGCCTCCCGACCCACCCCTCTACTTCCACCCCCAGAGAGTCCTTAGTAGATTCCTGGGTGCCTCTTAAACTCCCCACAAATCCCACCCACCTCCCTGCTTACCCCTCCTCTCCCAATGTTATAGTAAACCATGGTCCTATTAATACCGAACAGGTGACAACACATTCAGGGCAAATCTTTGCTTCCCCCCTCTTTTAGGATCGGGTACAGCTTTGCTTCAACCTGTCTAGATGTAGGGAATTAAACAGGTCACTTTCTCCCATCACTGGAAATGTACTACGTTTAAACCTTTGATTTCTGACAGACAGCTAGATAAATTCATGCTGCATTTTGAAAGCTGCAACTTAATTACATTCAGGCTGATTTTCAAAAAGATAAATACTATTCCTAAAACATTATTTATATGAATTTAAAAACACGATAATAGTTCTTTTCATCAATCATTATTCAGAATTTTAATAAATTCTTACTGTTTTTACTTCATATTAAAATTTAACTGAAAGTTAGAGATTAGTGAGTATAAACTCTGCTGTCAAATAACAGGACAATTGCTGAAAAATTTCACAAAATCAATACCATTTTCAATACTTTTTTTTTTTTTTTTTTTGGTGGTACTGGGGTTGAACTCAGGGCCTTGCACTTGCTAGGCAGGCGCTCTACCACTTGAGCCATGCTCCAGCCTTTCAATACCATTCCTTAAAATATGATCGGGACTAACTGGCTTCACTTTGACTCAAGCCCTATTTCATAACTAAAATACTAGTAGATATAAGATGTAGAGAAACACACGATAAATATAATTTTGTGGTCTGACCCTAATCAGAATGAAAATATACTTCTTATAAAGTACCCATCAAAAACAAAAACCCTTAATATGGTAGCAAATAACAAGTGATTACACATGTTAAAAGATGATCAGTGGATGAATACTAGAAGCATTCACCAGGATTCTTAAGTATTAAACAGTACTATTTCTGTGAGAGAAGACTTTTTAAAGTTATGGTAATTTCATACAAATGCAGTATTCTAATAAAAAAATGTAAGTTCCGGGGCCAGGCACAGTGGCTCATGCCTGTAATCCCTGATACTTAGGAGGATCAAGGTTCAAGGCTAGCCCAGGCAAAAAGTAAGCGAGACCCCATCTCAATCAGTAAGTGTGATGATTCACACCTGTGATCCCAGCTACCTGTGAGGCCACAGGTAGGAGGAACACAGTCTGTCTAAGACTGGTCCTGGACAAAACATGAGACCCTACCTGAAAAATAACTAAAGCAAAAAGGACTGGAGACATGGCTTAAGTGATAAAGCACCTGCCTAACAAGTGCCAGGCTCTGAGCAAAATCCCCAGTACCACATTTTAAAATAAAATGTATAGAAAGTAAATCCTGTCTTTTACTGCTCTCTAGGTAAGAAAAACTGTCTTAAAACAAAGTTTTATTGGACAATCAAAAAGCAAAAACCCATAATGCTATCAGTTCTTCATGACTTCTGTAAACACTAACAGATCACAAAAGGGAGAAAAGGAACACCCCCAACAGAAGGAGGTAAGGACCTGGAGATGTGGAAATTCCAGGTGGTCAAAATGTTGTCATAGATGACTACCGAAAGCTCACAAGTCATCCATTCAAAACAGATCATGTCACTGTTTGTCCCTTTGCACTTAAAAATCTGTAAGCATCCAGTTTTGTGAAGCAATGTTTACTAATTTACATACATTTCAAGTTACCATTTTAAGACTTTAGGGTTTACAGTTCATCTTTTACTATGCTAAATAATATTTTGCAAGTCACCTACACTAAATAATATTCTGAGCACTTTTCCTTGTCTTAAAACAAAATTTTATGTTTCCCCTTTCACATGCCAGTATTTTAAAAACTGGCAACAGAATCTACAAGACACACATGGCTACTTTCAAAAGTCCCAAGTTTAAGGTCTTGGTCACCACTGCAAGCCTCTTCTTTGGGAAACAAACAGGAAGAACAAATTGATCAACGGAGAAACCAGGACTATTTTTACTTTAAAGTAGACCCTGTAAGTGATTTTTGTTTTGTTTTGTTATAAAAAGCCTTGGCTGTTTCTAGCTCTCAGATTTCACATTTATCTATTACCCTGCATTTCCTTCAATTAAAATGAGCATGGAATTGCGTCAAACTGACCCTTTAAATGACGTCAAGTAAAAAATCTTCAGAACTCACCTGCCGCAAATTAATTCTTGCTCCTTTTACAGTAATATTTACTTTAAACCATCCAAACATCCAAGCTTGCACTAATACTTTGGAATGTCTTTCCAATCTGAGTTGTGAATAGAAATACCACATGCAAGACCACCTTCAGACGAGAATGGTCTGAGGAGCTGCCAGGACCCTTCACCTTTTTAACCACTGCTATAGTAAGAACCCACCAAATAATGTGGCCTAGCCACAGTGCCTGCAGCTGACATTCATCCTCATCTCAAGGGAGAGTCACTGAAACTCTAAGTCGGGCTTCCAGACTCTAAAGTGCAAGCATCCCCACTCACCCACGCTAAGGGTGAACCCTACAGCACAGTCAGCCAAGCATGACAGACCAAAGCTTTCCCTCACAGAGCACAATACAAAACATGGCTGTTTCTACCAATGAATATAAAACACATGATGAACTAACTTGTTGACAACCTTCGAGAAGGCCCTAGAATTAAAAGATTGGGGTACTGAATTCCTTTTTTAAAAATGTGCAGACTTACTAAACACCTATCATAACTTAAAATATAACTTCCTCAAAAGAATTCCATTTTCTCTCAGAAACGAAATTTGGAATTGTATTTATACCCAAGGTAGCTACAACTGTGGCTAAAGGGATAATACGTAAAACAATTTAGTGGATAGTTATCACAGGACATTCGACACACTAAAATGTGTATATTCCATTTTTCTTAAAGAGAGTAGGTATACCAGCTGTCCCTACAGGGTGATACTGAAGGACAAACAGTGAGCACTACAAATCATGCAAAACTCACGGCCATGCTTAGAACCTTCAGCAGCTAAGCAGCCTCCACGCTCACCTCAGATTTCTCTAGTTTATTCTGCGCATCGATTTGCGTAACAATCTCATTCATGTTGGTCTCCAACACCATTCCCCCCATCACCATTTCCGCTAGAATATTGTGAACCTAAAGGAAAAAATAAGCACAAAAAGGAAATTCACTACAAAAAAGTATCATGTCAGTAGTATTTTTGCTTCAAATATTGCTGTGTCTTTTTGATGAGTGGTAAACATAACATGGAATGAGGGTTCACCGTCCACTTTCATCACTACTGTGAAGCTTTGGGCAGTTATATAACCTCTGTTAAGTCTTAGTTTAATGAGCTGGAAAACAGAGATAAAAACAGTACCTCCTTCACAGGACTGTGGAAGGGTTAAATGAAGTTATCCATGGAAAAACCCGAAATACAGTTAATAATAAATATTAACAACAATAGTTCCCCCTAAAAGGCAAAGTTTCACTTTCCATGGTTTCAGTTATCTACTGTCAACTTTGGTTCAAAAACATTAAATGGAAAATTCCAGAAATAAACAAATTCGTAAGTTTTAAATTGCATGCCTGATGAAATGTCAAGTCCTCCCATTCTATCCTGTACAGAATGAGACTCATTCCTTTGTCCAGTGTATCCACCTGACATCATCAAAACTCAGTGATCCAGGACCACCTAGAGCAGATGCTCCTGACACATCATCAGGTCAACAGTCACCCAAGCCCATATCAGAATGCCCGCATCATATACCTCACTCCATCTGATCACATGGGTGTGGTACATCTCACAGTATCAAAGAAGGGTGAGTAAAGCAAAATGTTTGTGGAAACAGAATACATTCACAAGACTTTTATTATGGTATACTGTTATAAGTATACTTTATTACTTATTGCTGTTAACCTCCTACTATGATTAATTTTTATAAATTATGCTATTATAGGTATGATAACACCTACTCTCTAGCCCTCCAGGGGGTCAACAACCTTGCTTAAACTGGCTCACAGAACTCAGGGAAACACTTCATTTACATTTACTGGTTAATTATAAAGGTTGTAACAAAGGATACAAATAAAGAAACCCACAGGTGTGGGGATGTGGGGCAGGATGCAGAGCTTCCTTTTCTACTGCAGGTACATTCTCCTCTAGGAACTTCACCAAAGTCAGGTGACGAGAAGCTCTCAGAAGCTATGCTTTGGAGGTTTATGGAAGCTACATTATGTAGATATGACTGATGAAATCACTGACCAATGGTGATCATTCCTTTCCCCTTAAGTTGACAGTTTCAACCCTCTAATCAGCCTTCATCTTTCAGGTGACCAGCCCCCACCTTGAAGCTACCTACAAGCGGCCAGCCATCAGTTACCTCATCAAGCAAAGACAATGGTATCATCCTGGAGAAGAACTGTGACCAAAAGTGTCCTTTTGTATCCCAAGGGAGTGGCTGATCCCAAGACCCAATGATAGCAAAAGCAGATGCTCAAATGGCATGATATTTGTACATAACCTATATATCATCTCCAGATTAAGTATAATACCAAATACCTTGTAAATAGTTGCTATACTAAATTTCTTTGTGAATAACAAGAAAAACGTCTGACATATTCAATACAGATGCAGTTTTAAAAAAATATTCTGGATCTATAGGTGGTTGAATACAAGGATGGAACTCATGGACATGGGATGTATGTCTATGTGTATATTATGTATCACACTATACAATCATAAAGACAATGAACCCTAAAGTGTATTTTCTTGATGAAGAGGTATTAAACATTATAGTATTTAAAAATCCACAGAGGTAAACATACACAAGAATGGGAACCATTCCCTGGAAGGCCACCCCAGTATGACCAAGTGTACGTATCCATGGGAAGGCATGTCATGGGAGGAGGGGAATAAGAGGCTAAACATGATGTGTCAGTGACAGAACAATGCATGCTCCTACACTTGGGAGGAATCTTTACAGACTTAGCAAGAGAAAGAGAATGACTAAGATGAGTTTCTTAGCTCACCTCTAACTCACATGGTTGACATCCTCTAGTATTTTGTTTTACTATTTTATTTAAAACAGACTTTTATGGAAATAGAAGAGCGGCAACTCGCTTATGCACAATTCATTTAGAAAACTGCCTTGATGTTCACCTAAAAAGAAAAGCTAAATGAGCTTTTGCCTTCTTTTTCTGCATTTTTATAGGTATTTTACCTGTTTCAGAAAATTATGACATTAAATAATGTAGTTCCTATGTGTTTGCTTTAAGTATCTGCCCTGTCTACTCAACTGCACAGCTTCTTATGAACATAGACTATAACTTCTAAATTTCATTTTTACATTTTGAAAAAACAGGCAAATGATTAAAAGTTCAAGTCACATAAAAACTTTGGCATGATCAATAGTAGTTTCCAACATACTCTGCATCTATTATCAGGTCCCTCTATCCAAAGAAAATCAGTTAGCTGAATCTTACATGTCCTCCTAGAAAACCTTGTTATATATGGACTTATATGTGTATATTAAAATCTAATTTACATAACTGAAATCACACTGTACACATTCTTTCCACAGTTCTACAAGAAAATAAAGGATGGATTGAAAATTAGAGACATGACAGAATAAGAAATCCCATTAAAGTCAAAAAAGAAACTGGAGTCAGATATATATACAAGAATGATCAATGAAGACTGTATGTGTGTGCTCAAGAGGTAGAGCACTTGCCTACTAAGTGTGAGGCCCTGAGTTAAAACCCTCACCACCAAAAAGAAAAGATACAAAAATATAAGATGGCAAATATAAATTAATTATAATGCATCTTAAATTGAGAGAAAAATCTATAAATTCCTCAGAAAAATAGCTTAGTTGGGCTGAGAGTGTAACTCAAGTGGTAGAGCATCTAGCTAGTAAGTTCAAGGCCTTGAGTTCAAACTCCAGTACCACCAAAGAAAAAGAGAAAAAAGAAAATATTGCCTAGAAAAAGAGCTTAGAAAATGAAAAACATCAATGGGATACAACAATATCTATGACATGGTCCCACTGAGGCTTACAAAACATTATACTCATACAACTTGATATGCCCGGAACATTTCTGAAAGGTACTCACAAACATGTTTTGATAGAGGTTATCTTAAGAATTTGAAAAGTACCTTTATTTTATAGTATTGCTTACTTGTTTTGAAAAATGTTAACAAGTGCATATATTACTTTAAAAAATAAAAACTAGCACAGAGCAATAGAGCCCCTGGCTTTGTAACAGTACTAGGTTCTAGGCTGAAACAGCGACCCTGAGCGTATCAAAATACTCCTGCTGGATGCCATCAGTGGTAGGATGAGTATCACTTCCCGCATGTGTGTGCACAAACTGGAAACTTTGCTTAACACTTAAATGGTCTCTACTGTCTTATTAGTATTTGTAAACGGCACATTGTCAGTGTCTAATAAATATTAAATACACCTTTTTGCATCAAAATCATTTTACCAATTACATTAAAATTCAAAAGCTAAAGAACAGGCATTTACTTGTATCTAACATTTTTCACTACCCCACTATCAGTAAATCACATATACTAAATATTTTTATGTAGTGCTTACTGACAATAATGTCCTGGCTTGAATAATGCCTACATGGTCAGTGGGAAGTAGTGAAGATTAATCAAACACATTTCTCTTTTAATAGTCAGAAGCCCTATACCAGACTGACTCAAGTGTCTGAAGAGGATAAGGAAAGGAGGTCGAATGACATACTTCCTTTCTGCAAACTGACACATATTATCAGAACATAAAAAGCTATGTATTTTCCTACAATTTTTGCTACAGATAAAATTGTCTGTACCAAGTATCTTTTTAATTTGATTACATTAATACCAGACTATGGCTTGGTCAAGGAAAATATGGCATAGCCATATTAATACTTAATACTTCACATAAGAAGAAAGGTAGTGTGTACATAATGTCATGGGAGGAGCTAGAGATAGAGGAGTCAATGAAGCAAGACACAGAGCATCATATGAAATGAAAACAAGCTCACTCACTGAACAAGTATGCACATCTTTATAAATATACAGAAAAAAATGTCTGGAAGCCTACCCAGCCAAACCATTCAGAGAGATTTTCAGGAAGCAGTGTGGCTGGGACTAGGTGAGTCTAAGGAAGAGGGAACAGGGTGAGAAAAATGCTCACATCCAATCATACAGCCTTGGTACTGTTTTGACTTCTTTGTTTGTAAAGAGAGGTAAGTATTATCATTACAATTTTAAAATAATAAAACATTTGACTATGGACAACAATAATGTTTAAATAGTGGGAGGGGAAGGAGGGGGAGAGAGACAGACAGACACACATGTTCCTAAAAACAACTGCAAACTATACTATTTGAGGATTGAGGTAAGGTCATGTCCTTCACAGAACCCTAAAGTACAAACCACTCAATAAATATTTTAAGATGTGTTTATAAAGAACACCTCCTTCTCTGCTTGTAAAAGGACTTTAAAAAAAAAAGGGGGGGACCACTGCAGAGTAGTAAACCTAGTAAACCTATTCTAAAACTTAGTAAGGCATGATGTTTTTATTATTAAGACAGAATAGTAGATGCTAAGGAAATTAATAATTTTAAATTGTTAATAAAACTTTCCCGTTACATACTTCAGTAAATCTTATTCTTTCTTACTATTCTGATAATAAAGAGAATAAATATTCACTCAATTAGATAATCTATTAAACCCCATATTTGCGATTCTAAATGATCTAAACAGATCTCTCTTCACATTTTTGTATTTCTTCAAACTTATGCTACATTGATTATAAGAACAATCATTATTTTGTATATTGCTAAAAAGGAAAGTCATCACCAATTAAGTTATGACAAGTTATAGAACACCATATGCATCCTAACCTCAAATGTTAAAATGTGAAAGAAAATATGCATCTTTGAATCCCAAACTGTGGTATTTTCTTATAATTTTAACTCCACAGGTTGATAGATGAAATAAAAGCAACAGTGAAAAAAATTTAAAGAAAATGGATGTGTTTGAGTCTTACAGAAGTCACTGCATTAAAAAAAATGCTTACCTTCTGAAATATACACTCTCAAAATATATTCATCTGAATTTTATTAAGTCAAAAATACTTAAAATTTTGACATAACTG